ATATATATATATATATATGTATTCATTTTAGACGCATAGATATATCTATATAAATATTTCATATATTGGGGTGTTAAAAATGTATATACAAGCATATACATATGCTATATATAAGGTCATTTAGTATAATCTGTGCAAGCGCAAGTAAACACGATCAAGTATTTTCTCAGCCTCGGTTTGTGCCCGATCCGACGATTTTAGCCCCTTTAACACATTTACTCACATACTTTGGCAGCCACATTCTTTTTCAGTCTCCCTCACCTCCTGGTGTTAGTCTCCTCCTGGAAAGTGTCATCAGGCGTTCTCTATTCCGCATGTGTAGCAAAAAAGAACGATCGTACACGTCTTCTATTAATCTGTCTTTCACTTTCGCTGCGTTCTACCTTTGTATGCCCCAATTTTTCAGGATTTGCAACGTCAGCTGCATGAAGTCACGACGGAATTGGATTTCAAGAAGGTCTCCTATGCTCAAGTAAGCTGCTAGGTGGTTGCTTCTTTCTGCCACTTTCGAATATCCACCCTTTCCGCGTGCATTTCTGTGTCTTTCGCCCCTATATTGCACGAACTGAAGCGAGCAAGCAAACGCAGAGCCTGACAAATGCAGCAACGTGCTGCATTGCATCAATTAGGTGGTGGAAAAGGCGAGGCAGCAAGATGCGGAGCTACAAAAACGACAAGCTCAGCTGAAGTCGCAGCTCCAGCGCTTTCAGAAGTTTGTGTACACCAACGAGGAGAAAACAACGCTTGCAAACAGAAGAGCCTCCGCTGAAAGGGAGACGAGTCACTCTCGCGATAAAGAAATAGCCGTGTTGCAAAGACAACTAGCAGTTGATGAAGTCATGTGCAAAGGACTAGAATTACAAGTACAGGACCGTACGCCGCCCAAATTATTCCCCTTGCACCACCCCTTCGCTGGCTTTTTGCCAAAAACCATGCAGAAGAAAGCATACATAAGCCCCAGAAGAGAAACAGTAAAAAAGAGACTTCGTGCTTTGTCTGCCTGGAAACAGAGGAAGGAAGCCTGGTGGTTATCCGATAAAACCTAAAGCAGCAAACCATACAAGGTCAATAAGAATGTCAAAAAAAATATCCTCGCTGTTGCCGCTTCTTTTGCTCTGTGGAATTCGGGACAACAAAGTCAATAAGAATGTTTTAAAAAGTATACTTGCTGTAGCCGCTTCTTTGGCTGAAACGATCCATTTCAGAACGGTAGCAGTGTACAGCGGTTGCGGCTGCATGATACAGAGCTTATGGAAGTGTTTAAAGGGCCTGGAAACGAGATTAAGGACTGCAATCAAATACAGGCATTTGTAATTGCTTCTGTGTGTACTGAAGATGTTTGTAGCCACGTATATATTGGAGGAAAACAAAACCCACAAGTGGAACGGAGCAGATATATTTCTTGTTTGAAATAGCTGCGAACGCGGATGCAGGCGTCGCCGCCGCTTCTTGCTCTCTTGCTGCTGTGGTGTTCAGGTAGTTGAGGAGGGTTGTCTTTGCTTGTGTGTTTGCCAGTACAGAAGTTTGCAGACTACCTAAAGGCAGCGTCGGAGACGAGTCCCGAGTTTTCGAACGTGCGCGACATAATTGAACGCTTTGAAGTTTTGGCTTCCGTACACTCCAGTCTCCGGCAAAATGAGGAAAAGACGACCGAGCAGATGGACAGGCTGCGCCAGCGGCTCCAAGAGTACAAAAGAAGCCAAGCAGCAAAGATCCTTGTATGTTGCTGTCTTAGCGGGAAGTTTCCGGTTCTCCCGGTCATTTTAAGCAGCGTGCAAGCTCCAAGAAAAACAAACCAAGTGACAAAAAATTACTTTGGAGGCTGCCGTTCTGGCTTCGTTCTTTGGATGTTCCACGCTGCACGTCAACGCCTTGATTTTCGCGCTATCTTCCCACCAACTTTCTCGTTAAAGTTGCGAGACTTTCTCTCAGGAGGCAAACAACAAGGTAGCCGAGTACCAGCGCGAGCTGGAGGCTCTCGAAAAGGAAACGGCTGCTCTAACAGCCAAGGCAGATGAAGCAGACAGGGACTCCTTCAGCAAGTCGCTGCACCTCGGAAAGGTTCTGCTTGCCGTCGAAAACATGTACGCCATGTGCATCACCGCCAGGCCCAACATTCAACACGGCCGTGCGGCCTGGGAGAGGCAGCAGTAAGCAACGAGAGCTATTGCAAAAGCCATGCCACCTGCCTCGTGCATCTCCACAAGACCCGTCGTGAGGCAGCTAGCTAAGCACTAACTAGCGGAACACTAGCTAGTTGAGTAAAAGCACGCACTAACCCTACTGCATAGGTATCTGGCCACCTAGCTATTCGCGACGCCAGCCAGCCACCAAGCAAGGTCATCAAGCAATCAACCTGCAGAGGCTTCCGGCCTTGCCAACGGACAATCAGGGCTTAAGGCGCCTATTACTCGGACTAAAGAGCAAGTGATAGACTGATTTGCAGGCGGGAGACTGCAGCTGAGACAGACGGGGAGGCGCAGCAAGAGAAGCCTAGCGTTGAAGGGAAAAACAACCAAAAACGGAAGGAGGAAAACGATCAGACCGAGAGTTCTCAAATGCAGCGACGATGCCGCTATGCGGTGGAACTCTTAGCTGCAATTCGTTCTTTTATTGTGGACTTCAAAGACATCGAAGAGCAGCTGAGCAAAGGTGAAAAAAGAAAACAAAAAGCGAACAGAACCGTTAACATGGCCGTCGACAAGCCGGACGAAGGTGGGCATTTTTCCGTCAGATATGCTAGATTGTTGCAAGTCGATAAACCTAAACTAAACAGCTAAAGCAACAAGACAGTTCGAGAAAGGCAGCACCTGTGGGAGTCCTGGAGATAGCGGCGATTGCCTGTATGAACCGGCAATAAAAGTGATATCGGTTCTGTTGCCGTAGCAGTCGCAGTAGCAAAAGCAGCAGCGCTGCTAAGAGCAGCACTTGCACCAGCGGCAAAATACCTGCTATAGTGTTAAGTATTTCCCATAATCATGTTATTGCTGCTGTGGCCTCTTCAAACGTTGCAGACACAGTCGAGTTCGTCGCAACTCGGCTTTTGGTCGCCCTGCGTAGGGAGAATGGCAGCGCAGACGTCAGCAGAAGAACAACCTCAAGAAAATTCGCCGACGACAACAGCTGCTACCAGCAGTCCATTCGCAGCCACGGATCCTAGGCACGCCTGCACAAACCCCGAACCGTACACCCTACGCTCTAAACTATAAACGCTGAGCGTTAAAGCCGCAGTCATATTCCACAATAGCTCGTGAAGTGGCTCACTCAGGGGCCGAAATGAGAAGCCAAAAACCCCGGTAGTCTGATGAACCTTAACCATGCTTGCCCAGCAGATGATTTCTTGCAATCGAATGCGTGTCCTGTAACGCCCTCCTCAGTGGTTTTTGCTTATTTGCGCAGATCAGTGCATTGCAAGGGAGAAACCTTCGAGTTCCTGTCCAGAAGCCAGTTTCTGCTGCCCAAAGCGTTAAACGGAATGCTTTCGTGCACGCAGCAAACTGCCTGTTTATTTTTCAGAGGCATATGCACAGGCTATTACTACTACTAAGTGAATCTGAACACCGCCACAGTGGCCATGCGATCTGTGTTTAAGCATGCATGAGAGCAGCGTGCTTTGCTGTGCTGCAACACAACAGCGCAATAACACTGAAGTTTCTTTTCCCAGCCTCTCAAATCAGAAGTGCACAAGTGGGGGAGCATCGCCACGGAGGTATGGAATAAGGTTGTAAATAAGTAGTAATGGCAGACGAATGAATTTGGAAGCAGACAAAGACAGAAAAAGAGAAACTTGAAATATAGGCATATGCAAAAACACAAATACAACTAATAAATTAGAATAAGCGGACTGGCACGGCCGCAGAATTACTGGAAACGGTGGCAATAAGCGACGACTGTTTCGCCCTGGTTGTTTGAAATCGCATGAAATAGAAGATGCATGCAGTGTAGAAAATATATACAAAATAATACATACAATAATAGTAGAAGACATATTTTAATAAACGACATAGGTATGCAATAATAGACACAACGTACGATGCTGGAAAAGTCAGAAAATACCAGCGATCATGCGCACGGACGTCCCCCCGTGGCAAAGAGCAGCCCACTAACATTTGGTTTTAGATGAGCGCTTGACGTTAAACTCGGAGAAACTCCTATGCCAGCTGCCCGTCACTACACCCCCTCTCTTCTGAGGCGTCGTGCATAAGGCTGGAAGCCCTCCCGCTCTTCTATCAGCTATAGGGCCCCTTGCAGCCCTGAGTCAATCACTGAGTCTAAAGAATTGCAATAAACAGAAATGAGCAGACGTGTTGAAGGGCTCCAGGCAGTTTACAAAGGAACGATAGAGGGCGGGTGAATGAGCGTCAATGGCTACATCGCTATCCGCCCCCCGCTATCCAAAAGTGAAGTCCCGTGCAGCCTCTGGTGTCCGTTTAGCTACAACTCTTGCTAATGCACGCACATCTTCCGACCCCCCCCCCTCAGCTGTTAAACTCCCTCTATGGTAGCAAATGGTGTGCAGAGAAGACAAAGACATCGCTTAAAAATGTTGTTACAGAGTTAAGGAAGGCCCCATAGCCAACGTGAAAAAGAGAGGGAGAGAAACACATTATGTCATAGCTGTACACCATAGAGCTGTCTGATCATCTCTGGTGACATTTTAACGAGTTGTCTTCTGGCTTGTTTGTTCCACTTTCTGATTTTTGTGGTATCTTTGATAACCTGCACTTTGGCGCTCTTCATTTCGTTTTCTTTCTTGCGCTGCCGCTTGGCCTCCCTTTGTTTGCGGCGTTGCACCCGTACCTTCTCCTTAATTGCCCGGGCTTGTTTCTCAAAATCGCGGGCTTCTCTCTGCTTTTCCTTCTGCTGCTGATGCTGCTCCCACCGCTTCTTTGCTGCAGCGCTGTCGCCTACACAGCCTCCCGATGCAGCGTTGCCTTTGCACAGACGGCCGAAGCTGAGTCTCTGACCCCGCGGCCGCCACATCTGCCTACCCATGAGTCTTGGAATGGTTTGCTTTGGCTCATGGGGAAGATGTTCCCCCGCCTCGGTCTCTTCTGGTGAGCCCGCTACTTCCTCTGAGCGGAGCGTCTCTGCAACCTCCCTGTTCGCCTCTGCAGTAGTTTCCGCAGACAGTCCCGTTATTTGAGGTGCATGCACACCGCCTCCCACTGCGAGCGCCAACTCTGCTGCTGCTCTCTCTTCGGCTGCTGCTGAAGGGTCCCCATCTGCAAATGGTGGCTCTGAAGGCCCCCCTTCTGATGCTGTCCGCTCAGCCACAGGTGCTTCGTCCTCCGTGCTGGGCTGTTGGTGTTGGCATGCACCATCAGCAGCACCATCAGAACCTGTTGCTGCTGCGGCGGTGGCGGGCATTTCCACTGCGTCCCCGCCCGGTCGGGCAGGTATGTCTGAAGCGGCAGTACTTTCTTCAGCTGCAACAATTGGCATCACTGAATGATCTCCGGCATGCTGCATGGTGGAAGGAGAAGGTCAACATAAGAGAAAAAGACGGGGCGCCTTCCACGGGCGCCACGGCCCTCCGTTGGGTCTGGCCTTCACTCCTACGCTTCGAAATCCGCGTAATTGGGTTAGTGTCGAGAAGAAAACCGTCTAAACAAAGCGGAAGAAAGCAAACCTTGTGCACCTATGCTTGCAACGACAATAGCGGCCATTCCCTCGAAAATACCCCCGCAGGGGCTGGGCCCCACCGGTGGTCCTGTGAAGCGTAAGTATGTGCAAAAAAGAATAGAGATACATTTGGAAAAGTCCATTAGGGGGATTTTTTCTTATATTCGATTTGTTTCTTGTTTGTGAGGATACTGACGGCAGCATGAATGACTGGATCGTCGGTTTTCTTTGCAAGACTCCACTATGTTGAACTCCACGGCTTCCTGCCTGACAGCTGACTCACGCTTTCCAGTTTCTATGTTGAGTGCTTTCTCCGAGGTATTTTAAACATATCCTTCTTTGCCCGGTTAAAAATGGAAGCTCCTGCTACGGCCCAGCAGCAGGATGCGGCCGACGCCCCCAAGGCCGAAAGGGTTCGCGTTGTCATCCGGTGAGGGGCCAGCAAACAAACTAAAAGCATACCAAAGCAGATCTTCGCTTTGATATGTGGCTTCACTGTAGGGGCCTGCTCTGTGCTGGGACTTGGGTTGGAACCTAGATAAGCAAAGGTTTAATGATGATTTTCCACAGGTGTATTTAACTTCCCCTATTCATCGTGGGAAAAAAAGGCATAGGCTCTTGAAAGTTCCTTTTAAGAGAATGAATGAACCATTTGCCGGGCACAGTTCAGGACACTGCAGACGCGTGGCATGCCTCCTTAAAAGTCTCGTCAGAGGCTTTTGCTGCGTGGATTCACAAAAGGAACACTATGCAGATAGACCACAGCTGAGAATGTTGTAGCAGAAGTGGCCTAACGAGCTGCGCGAACAAGCTGCTCCGAGGGAGACACCCAATGCTTATAGCCAGAAAGATAAGCACACCAATGCGGCCCCCTGCACTTTTCTTTGCTGTAGCAGTAGCTAGGGAGTGTGGATCTCTCTTCTTCAGTTGTAGGCCTCTTTCTGAGGCGGAAGTTAGGGAGGGCCGCAAACGCGTGCTGACGGTGAACAGTGAGAACGCATCTGTTTCTCTCCAGAAGCCGAACGGTCCGACGAAGCATTTCAGCTTCGACGCAGTTTACGACGAGTCGTGAGTTGTGACAGAGCAAGTAGACTACTCCCTTTCTGTGGAACCATTGAAAAATAGGTAGGAATGCACAGGTGCATTAAGAATGCAGCTGCAAAGGACACCTAGAGCTCGCAAGAAGCCTCTGCGCGGGGTGTCTTCGAACAGCGTGTCTCAGGAAGGCGTTTATGAAGACGCTGCGTACGGCATTGTTGAAAGCGTTACCGAGGGCTACAACGGTGCATACTGCACACAGAAAAAGAAACCCACAAAATGCGGGCAAATTGATATTATTTGTGTTTGAATAGCGCTACTCTAACAGAACTGCACAAAGGACTCTAGTGCAGCGCTGGAGTCTGTTGCCAAAGCTGGAACGGGGGAAATTGGCACTTTCTTGTGGATTGTTAGCTTGGAAGTGAAAAAGAAACGGTATTTGCGGGCGGCAATCTTCAGGCACCGTGTTTGCTTACGGGCAAACCGGCACAGGGAAGACCTACACGATGATTGGAGGGGAAGGCGGTTTGCAAGGCATAATTCCTCGAGCATTTGAGCACATCTTCAGCACTATTGACTATGCCTCTGAAAAGGAAAGCGCTTTTTCACGCCTTCTGCCCTTGGTGGCACCCTGCTAGCCTCCGATTGACCCTCGCCTCGCACTGTTACCGTGCTTCCCGAAAATCTAGACTGCAGGTACACTCCGAAAGTCTTCTAAATTTCTTCACAGACATTTTTAGTACGAGCTTCCTTTCTCGAGCTTTATAACGAAGAGGTGAGTTACCATATCTGCCAACAATAGACCAACTGCGCAGTGTAGGGCTGGAACAACAGGCACTCGCAGCACGATGCGCACGCAACATGTCTCAGAAAAGGCCGGCGGTTGCAACCTCAGGCTCGGGATTTGCTCTCGAAGACGTACACAGCAAAGCTCAACCTTCGAGACAACCCCGAAAGCGGCGTTTTTGCAGAAGGCCTCAGTGCCTTTGCTGTAAAGTCAGCTGAAGAATTGGCAAAGTTACTGGTAAAGGACCCCGCACTCACTCCTCCACGCTATGGATACAGTGTTCAAATATGTGATAACGAGCACGGAACTACAAGCTCTCGCAGCTCCTCATGTTGAACTACTCCGTAGGAAGAACAGATGGTGATGTTTAGGCTGACTGACTGGACCATCGCTGAAACTCATCCGCACCAATGACATCCCGCTTCGTTTCCTGCGTGTGCACGCACACTACTGTCCCTCTGGCAGTAACGCATTTCCCCACATGCCTTTTGTTAACAACTTAGGCAACGGGACAGCGTAACAGGAAGGTGGGCGCCACATTAATGAACGCAGTCTCGAGCAGGTAAGATTACGTCGGTTTCAGACGGCTCGACTTTTGTGCACTCCAGTTACTTTGCAGACATACATATACATATATATATAGCAACTCTAATGCATTCCTGCCTGCCAGGAGGTACTTAACATCTCTCCTGCATAATCGGCGCTTGCGATTTGGCCGTCGATAGCTTTCCGAGTGCCACAGGTCCCATTCCATTTTCACCTTAGCAGTTGAGAGCGCAGATAAAGAAGGACGAGTGCGCATGGGAAAACTGAATCTTGTGGATCTTGCTGGGTCAGAAAGGTAAATTTGTGCCATTTTGTGTTACCGACAACGGTGGACTTAGGAGTGGGTTCCACTAAGCTACGCTTGATGGCAAAGCCAAATATGAAGGCATTATTATTGCTTTGCTGTAGTGCAGGCAGAGTAAAGCTGGCTCAGTAGGCGAAAGGTTTAGAGAAGCTATGAAAATCAACTTGTCTCTGAGCGCCCTCGGCAATGTCATTTCCGCCTTGGCCGAGCAGTCGCCCTTCATTCCATACCGCGATTCGAAACTGACCCGAATCTTGCAGGTACCACAGGATTCGCTCAGCCTCTACGCTCACTGGGGTCAGTGACCTTGACGCTTATATTCCGCTTGCTCTAATCTCTTCTGCTTCAAACGTCTCAGGCCTCGTTAGGGGGGAACACGAGAACTGCCATGGTGGCCACCGTCGGGCCTGCGTGCGTTCATTATGACGAAACTCTGAGCACACTTCGCTATGCACAGCGAACAAAACACATTAAGAATGCTCCGCATGTCAACGAAGACCCAAAGCAGGCAGTGATTCTGGCGTTTCAGGAAGAAATTGCACGACTGAAGCAGCAGCTACAAGCGGCTGAGGGTAAGTCGCCTGACGTTTTTGAGCACATCATCGTGTGTAGGAAACACTCTGAATCTTTGCGAGAGTCTCCTTAATACTTGCAACCAGGGATGGCCTGGCGCATGAGACTAGCTTTATCCCGGCGTTGCGCGATATCCGATTCTATTTACAGAAGCCAGACTCCAGGCGCTTAATAACCCTGCTGGACACCTGAAGGAAGTCGTTGTTGAGAAGCCTGTCATCGTCGAGAAGGAAGTGATTCGCGAGAAGCCGACAATAGTGGAGAAGATCGTTGAGAAAATCAAAATAGTCGATGTCTCAGAAGAAGAAAGGCGCAAATTGGAAGAACTGAATTTGGAGCAGCAGCGCCACCTACGAGCTACTTTTGAAACAGAGAAAACTGTACTTTTTCAATCGCTGCAGCACTGAAATCCAGATATGGCAGTTGTACTCAAGGAGACCAACGTGAGCTAGAGTATGCCGACACAGAACCCACTGCATCTGTCGCATGACGGGAAAATTGCAATGCAGGCTATCGAACTGGCGCGGAGAAAAGCGGAAGAAAACTTGAAAGCAAAGGAGGTTGAGGTCGCAATGTACGAGCAGGTAGGCGAAAGTAACCATACGAGATGGAAACAGTTTCTGCAAAGCAGGCTTTTAGATCCAAGGGGGTGAAACTGCATATGCTGAAATTTACAGCACAAAGCCGAGCTGGCGGACCGCTTAAAAAACATGGAGGCACAACTCTTACGCGGCAAAGCGGAGATTTCAAAAGCCAAGCAGCAGCAGCGGGAGTTGAAGAGGACCCGGCTGCGCTTAGAAGAACAAAAGAAGATGGGTGAGGATGCTTATCCAGGAGTTGCTACGGAGTAAAAATGCAGGAAAATTAACAAGCTTTGGACTGAAACCTGCTGATATTCCTATACACCCGCCTTTTAATTGTACTTCGACGCAGAGGAGCAGCTCCGCAGAGAGCGAGATCAAGGACGGGAAGCCCGGCTACTGCTTGAAAGCCTAGTGACCACCAAAGACAAGGAACTGAGTCACTTGTCCTCCAAAGTGCAACAGCTTTGCAGGCGCTACACCGAAGTTGTTGATGACATCGAGGACCTGCAAAAGGAATTCCAAGCAGAGCGAGAGTCTCTCCTCCACGACATACGCTCAATGGAGCTCGAGATGCGCTTGCAGCAAGCCATAATAGATCGTTTTGTCCCCCCTGAAGAGGCGACGGTAAGTATTACCAATGCACATGGCAGCATCAACTACATAAAAATTAGATTTTTTCTATAGACGCCCGTTCGAGCGGCTGGGATCCGCAGCGAATCCGCACAGTCGCCTCCTGGGACGAGATTCAAGGCGAATGGATAATACCGAATTCTGAGCTCACGGGGAATGAAATGTAGGTTATACAGTATGAATAAAGCATATTCGTCTTACCTTCAGCTCGCTTACTTGCGGAGTAGCTCACCTGGGCTAGATTACCTGGCTTTTCCAAGCGTCTCACCAAGATTTCTGTGAAATCGGCACGTTCCTCCCTTGTCACGTTAGTCTGGCAGCGGGTGCCGCCTGATCGGAAGCCGAATGAGTTCTCCGAAGGCATCTTTTGTAGCTAACCATGTTGCCGTCAGGTTTATTCATCGAGCAACCTCCCGCGCAATTTCAACAAAGCGACGGCTTAAGGGGGGAAGCAGCAGCAGCAGCCATGAAACTTCAGTGCGGTAGGTGTCCGACGCATCGTGTAGGTGCAGAGAAATAGGTTGGGCCTCGCTTCCTCGTTGAACACTGACGAGTTTGAATGGATGCGCAGAAAACGTCTATGGGAAGGATCGATGCCATTTCTGACGAGATGCTCGGCTTGTGCAGGATGCGGGCCGACACTGTACCAGACCCGCCATTTTATGCCGCTCTAGAAAGTTATTCAACGTCTGATCGCTCCTATCCAGATTCCCGGTACGACTTGTGCTCCAATAATCCCATAATTCGCCTTTGCTGTGCATGGATCCGCAGCTAAAGTGGATAACACAGAACTCGACTGTCGGCTTGAGCGTGCAGTGTCGCTGACGCTGTAGAGAAAGCGCTTGAATACGTCGAGAAACGATACTTTAAGGAATATCCATGTCTTCCTCACAGCCCCGATGTAGAGGTGCGTATACAACATGAAACTAATGCTGCTGTCTTCTTCTGAATCGGTACCACACATGCGTATGTACTGCTCTCAGGTGGTAGGACAGCAAGCAGGAGCCGCATTGCACTCCAGAATTCTTCCTCCAGCTCGCAACTCGAGCGCTGTAGGTTCGCGTCCTGTTTTGGCTCATCAATCAGGCAAGCCCTTCTTCCCAACTCGGCACTCGCAGGAGATTCACTTTTTCAGGCATCCAGAGGGCAGCTCTGGCTTTCAGAAATCATGAAAATAGTACATGTAGTGTTCCTCAAGTGCGCAGTAAATGTGTTAAGGCGGCAGTGCTCGTGTACACAACGCATTTTGGTTGTTCCATTCCTCTGCAGACGGTCCAGCTGCACCAGTGCAATTCCCCAAAGTTCGCGGCTTGGTTATGCGTTGATTGGTAATTGCCTATCCGCCTACGTCTTTTGGAAGCATAGCAAATCAATTCAGAGTAAAGAAAGATACTTTACTTTGGCATTCATGAGTACCGCACAGGGGGGTCGGCCAAATATCTTTTCGTTCATGGGTCAAAATGGGCCGGGTAATCAGCAGTGGGCTAGTTCACAAGTAAGGGTTTTGCAGCAGATTGGGTGGCATAGGCACATCATTCAGTCTGAGAGGCACGACTGTGCTGAAGCAGAATCACTGACGCACGTGCGTTTCCCTCGCGATTTTACACCAATCTGAATATTTTAAAACAAAACAGCGTGAATCAGCCCAAACAGGGTCGCAAACTCCTGGCCTGTAGGCCACTTTCAAGATTTCCCCACATAAAAACACTTGCACCACCCTTCGTATACTGAGCAATGCGGGGATTCAAACGCCTTTGGATTGAAGAGGTGGAATGTGTGCACGTCGGCGGTCTGCTCAACGTTGCAATTCCTCCGTAGCAAACATAGGCGAGCCACCGGCGATGGCAGCCAACAGCCGGCTGCCTGAGATAAAGAGGAGCCTGCCAGTGCAGAGCATCTATGCTAATCGACGATGAGATATTATTGGGTCAAAACTTCTGCAGAAGTGAATTGCTAATGCTTTGGGTCAAGTCATCCGCGTTGCTGGCCAGCATGGGCGAACGCAATGGCAAAACAAAAAAAAGAAAAACATTCTTTTGGCGCAGAGCGCAAGCTTCGCCCGCGCGAAAGTGAAAGAGGTTGCAGAACGGCAATTACGCCCGGTATGCCAGCCTCTCCTAGCTCACACTTGAACGACTGGGGGAAGGAGATGCTGCGTCAGCCTCTTTGGGGCTACCAGTTAACAGAGACTCATATGAAGCGGTTCGTGGAACGGGAGAGCTGCAGACACTGCGATTTCCTGCTGGCTGATAATCTTCAGCTGTTCCATCCTCGTCCTTCTGCTGTCGTTGATGCTGTCCTGGAGATTGTACGTGTGACTCGTCATCATTCCGAGTGCGGCTGGCTGCAGAGGCAAAAGAATCACAACGGCTGGTTAGGGGATCTGTTGATTCGAATGAAGAATACGAGCCAAGACCGTCGGCAGAACCTGCCATCGACCCGCGAATCCGTCCAGCTGCCCGTGCTGTGAACTCCGCAGCCTTCGCTGCCACTCCTGCTGCAGCAAATGCTGCACTGAATGAGTTCCTAGGTACGCCCCTTTTGGGGCTGTCTGTAGGCCGACTGGGCGCAGGTGTTTCTTGAGCTAACGCCATGAACATTGCACTCGTAATGCTACATCCTTGCATTTCACCGGTGTTCTTCGGCAGCCAAAGGCGTGTCGCAGAACGTGACGGAGCAACAGCGCTAGCGGGGGGGGGTCCAGCTGAAAACCTGGCACTAGTGAAATGCGTTGGTGCCAGGCTTCGACGGAAAGTGGAAGAGGTGGCATGACTCCCAGAAACTCTCTGCGCAGATGCCCCACCAACTTCCCGTTGGGCTCCAGGATTTACAGCTGCATCCATCCCAGTTCCTAAGGGAGAGCAAGCTGAGCCAGCATCTTCACTTTTACTTCTGCGGGTCTCTCGAGGAGATATGCTTCCTCGCCTACTTGCGGGAACTGGCGGCAATACATTGGACGGAATTCCGCAGCTGTCTCCAGCGAGATGGGTGTCGTTCGTGCCTAGATGCTGTTCTGGACTCCCTGCTAGAAGACACTCTCCATCAGAGGCGCTCGGAGCCTCACTTGCTCTTGTTCCTATTTGCGTTGCTCCACTAGCCTCCGCCTTGCCCATCTGAAGCCCCAAAATTGCGGCTGCGCGGACACCAGGACTGAACGGCTGCAGCACATGCCCAGAGTCCATTGCTACCGCAGCCGGAGCGCCTTTTGTTGGGGGGGAAGGCAGTGGAAATCTATGCAAGGGAAGCTGCTGTTTCGGGTGTAGAGTAGCTTGCAGGTGGCCTTCAACCTCAGGATGAGAGCCCGATCCGGCGGCATCCGTAACTGCAGCAGTAGGTTTCGTGCTGTCTTTCGAAGCAGAAGCACCGGCTGTAGCTGCTGCAGGAGCTTCCTGCATCGCGGGTACAGTCGCTGCTGCATTCTTGACCCTTCCGAAGCCGAGTGGGCCAAGTCTAAAGCTCGATATTGAAACGACGGAAGGCAGCAACAGCCTACCAGGTGCATTTGCCGTCGATGGCCGTTGCGGTTGCTTTTCGGGACCGCTGTTGTCTCCCTGTGTTCTTTCCAGCGATGCCAGTTCAGCCCCTTCTGATGCTGAGCGGCGCATACATTCCGCAGGCTCCGCCAGCTGCTGCTGTGATGCGACAATTCCAACTGAGGTGCAAAATTCCAGATGTGGAGCCCCTAAGGAGCTGGAGCTCGAAGTGTTGCTGCTGCTACTGCTGCTGCTGCTACTGTCGCGGCTGCTGAGCAAGTCGAACGGGTCTTCGCTGGAGTCCGAGGAGCTGCTAGTATCTCCGGTTGCCCTAGAGGCTACGAGGTTAGCCACGGAGGTGGCTGCGTGAGTTGCGGAAAGAGAAGCGCGGCTGCTTTCTGCCTGATCAAGTCCAAAGTAATAGTTCAGGGCAAGGGTTCGCTTCCCCGACTCTTGTGACGCTGGTGGCTGCATATCCGTCGCAGCTCTGGGGCTCTGTGTCTCTGGCAGCGCTGCAATGCCTGTCACTGAAGCGACTGGGACAGGCATATCTTCCTCCTCGTCTGAGATGCCGCCTTCGCTCTCTCCGTATTCGATGTGTGGCTCGAAAGCCACAGACCAGTAGTTGAATGCATTGAACTGTAAACACGCCCCACACAGCGGTACAAGGAAGCAACCGCAACTGCGGGAGCAACACTGTAAGATGGTGGACACCGGCAAACCCCCGAGCATGCTAAAGAATGCCACGCATCTCAGACAGGTAATGCGACTATTCTCCGAACAGCTACAAGCGGGAAGAGACCACGGCCTCACACGCCTAAGTAGCACTCATGCACCAGCGGTCAATTTGAAGCATACGCGAGCATCGGTAGGTCAGTGCTGGTCTAGCACTGCCACCCACCCTGCCTGCCGACCTGCTCTGCCGCAAAACATCGGTGGCGCTGCTGGTCAGCTTGCGGCCGTGTGCGGGTGGAGAGAACAATAAACAGAAACATAAGGAGGCACTTTCTGCAGATGCTGCAGCTGCATCCCTGGACGATGGAGCACACGGCTCGAGATCAGAGGCACGGATTTTCATAGGGGTACCCCTATTATTGAGCGGCCCTACAGCCGTTTAGCCCTGACTATCGAAGCCGGATGCTATTTGCTGCTGCTGCAGCTACTGGTAGCGTTACAACTCTGCTTAGCTGTTGATGCCCCTACCGGTAGGAACTTCTCCGGTGGGTGGTGACAGGGTCTAACGCGTCATTTTCAGGTAAGCTGGGTCGTTGCGCGTGGGTGCGTGCGCCCCTACGCTTCAGCTTCTCTTCACGCGGACTCGCTAGAATCCCTAGCCGCCATGCCAGCTAAGAAATCAACGAAGGAGACGGAAACCACGAACTTCACAGAAGCATAGATACTCGCACATGCACAAGTGGTAGGCGCGAAGAAGTTCAATCAGGCGGCTGCCCCCACATGAGCGAGTCACCCTACGCAACAAACGGTCATCAGCTAGAAACCCTTCACAGTGTCTCGATAAACGAAGGGATGCTGTGCTCATTCCTGCCTTAAGGCAACACGAACATAAATTCCACCCAGCTTACCACCATACGGGTAAGGCGTAATGGAGTGAGGGGGGCTGTTGGAGAAAAAAGTTGATTTTACCCAGGGACTTGAAACAGCAAACGAATCCATAGCGATGCAAGGGAAGTGGCGGCAATTTTCCCCCCCCGAACCGTTGGTGCAGGGGAGGACAGGAATCCACCACTCCTTTAGTCAAAAAATAGCTACAGTGGAACGAATGTGCACATGCTGTCTTTGCCTCGAGGGCGAGGGCAACGAGATGCATTCGAACGCTCAAGAGCCCCCTTGGCTTGTTGAGCCAACCCACGGCAAATTGCTGCAGGCAACCACCTTAAAAGTCTAATGCACCTTTTCTCGAGACAAAAACATCTTTACTTTCCAGGAGACTAAGAAGGCGTCTCAGCTCGAGGTGTTTTCTAGTGCGACGATACTACAACTGCACTTGTAGTTAGAGAGTAATTTGGTGGGGCTCCTCATTACAGCCGCTACAGCAAACGGAGGTGGGAGAGGCCCAGTTGTCATCTTGCTTGTCTACGTGTAGTATGTACTGCAGCCTCTTCCGCTGCCTAACCTCTTCCTCTTCTCGCTCCTCGAGCTCCTGTCCTGGCTGCCCACGTGACACTGGCGAATTCTTCAAAGGCGGGAACATATGGTCAGCAATCTCGCTCATCGTCTCATAGCTGCGAAGCCCAACAACACGCAAAGCAACAGCAATGGCATTTGTAGCTAGAACCCCACCTCCACCACTTCAGGGCCCAACAGCAACAGCATCATCAACACCGAGCAAGCAGCATTATCCATCCAGACAGCGGGTACGCCTCTGAGAGCAAAGCCGCTCCAGGGAAAAGCTGCCCTGCGCAGCGAAGAAGGCATGCTGCACTGTTCACTCACGTTCGCGCGTATGTAGAATTGCTGATGTGGTGAATAACACCCGCCGTGTCGATGATGAAGATCTTCGCCTCTGGAATACCCACATGGATGTAAGCCCGATGATCCTACGATACGCAAACGCCTTGCACCTCTATCACCGTACAACCAGTGCCATGCTCTGTCCATAAAAACCTGCATTCCTTGTCAACGCTACGCAAGCATCTCAAGTATAGAACCGCTTCGGCATGGAGAAGATACGTACCGACTCTCTGTTGCCAAACCCAGCGTAGAAAGGATTCCTGTTCGCTGGGAAGAGGCTGCGAATGTCCCTCAGAGCTGCAATTTTGAAAATATACGGCTTTCTGTCTATTACTTCACGACGGAAAGAGGGGAAGAGCCGGTCAGGACTGAGTATCAGAGGCCCATCTGCAACGAATCATGCCAGAAAACGGAAGGGAAGCCTTCGCCCATTAGGAGGAATGTGTCCTCCGTGGATTCTACAGGAAGAATACCAACAGCATGCTGTATGAAAACACCCGTGCACTAATGCTAGCCGAACAGCAGCTCGTTGAGCAAATATCGTGGCGCTTTTATGCATGCATATAGATGTAGTTCTATGCAGAAAGGGGCAGCTCTCCAGTGTTCCCAAACAATGCAGCGGATCCCCCCGCAGTGTTGAATCCGCCAAGTTCACCTAGCACCACCAGCACAAGACTAACCTGGAAGTTTGTCTCGCTCCTTCTGTGTAAGCCCGAAAAGATAGTCACGAGTGGCATCCGCCTGACCAATAGCCCGAGCCGTAAGATAAAGAATAAGATATCCGCTTTTTTTGATCTTCGTGAAAAGCTCTGCTACACCTGTGTGTGACCAGTCTCTGCCCACGATGGGCATCAACTGCCCCAGAACATCCGATCTGCAGGCAGAAATCGGCCACAACTACTCGCAACAAGAAATGAAGATAGAACAGCAACAGGAGAAAATGTAACTGCACAGGGCAGCATGCAAGAAAACGATTTACTGCTCATGAAATGCTGGATAGGCCGCAGCAGCGCGTACCTGGTGATGGTGCCATCTACATCCGACACTACGATTTTGATGTCTGTAGGCCAAAGATAGATTGTTCCACAGACGCTTTTCTCGCCCTGGAGGGAAGAGCTGACAGTGAAACACACGCTATTCGCCCCAGGCTTTAAGTCGAGTGACTCCTGTTCAAATACAATCAAAACCCGAGATCAGCGCAAGCGCTCAGCAGCTTCCACCAGTTGTTGTACAAACCTGTCGCTATTCTGCAGCTGCTCTATCCCATATCTTGAGATAGGGAAATGCGTCTTAACGCCCGTATCAACGAGCCTCACCAACTGCTGTGGAGTCGGTCTTAGAGACCGCCTGAGTCTCTTCCCGGTAGAAGGCTCCCTGTTTGCCGCGAAGGCAGGAGATTCGCTGTCGCTGTTCACCCCGCTGCTGAACGTTGCACCTTAAGGAACAACAGACCCACATTCACACGGGCAGCAGCTCTGAAGGGGTCACGTTGCGGGAGCTGCAACTCCCAAACAGAGGAAGCAAAAAAAAACCGTGTGAGCATATCCTCTTGTAAACGTGGAAGAGATGCCCACTCCATTATGAGGAGCATCGGTTCTCTGCATGCAACGGATGTCTTTCAAAAGGCAACAAATCCTTGTAAGTTCCTCTCACCCTGGAGTTGGTCTCTTTTGGGACTACCCTGAGAGAAGTCGGCGGAGCTTAGGGGTTCAGGCCTAGGCCTCAGCACTCCTGAGCTGCTACCCACACCGTCTGTTTGCCACGGAGCCCAGGTAGCACCTTCTCTGTCTGTGTAGGTTATGTCTGCTGTCATCAGTCTTTTCACGCTATCCAGCGAAAGCGGGCGGTTGAACAGCAGCCAACTCGCCAGCAGCGGCAGCGCCACCTTCGCCGGATAATAAGGAGGAGTTCTTTCGAAGCAGGCTACCAGGGAAGGGTGATACCACAACGACGGGTTTTCGTCAAGGGTTTCCCAGGTAACAAGGTTCGCCTCAAACACATCGGCGTCGTGCTGCGCTTCATCTGCTGTGCCGAACAAGACATGACCACAAAGGGAAAACTGAACACCAGCGCGACCTTCCTCCCCTTGTCGTCCTAAGGTTCCCTCCGCTTCTGGAAGAGAGCCGGAAGGGCTTCCCTCCATCAAACCTGCTGTGCTGCCTTCATATCTGGCTGCAGTTCCCCACGCAGACCTCCAGGTAGAAGAGGCATCTTGAGTTGCTACAGAGCCTGCAGGAGCGTCTTTAGGAACGGGACCGTCAGCACCCAATGACGGAGACAATCCATTAGTGCCTCGCGGGAGCTCTGACCCTGTCTGGGTTTCCCCCGGCCTGCGGCTATCTGCAAGGACTGCAGAGGCCGCTGTCGATAGAGTCGCCCCCTGGACTGGGTGAGAAGGCGGGAGGGAATTCGAGTCCTCCGGTGCAGGAGGCAGAGATGCATCCGTTGAGAGGCCACAAGCGCGCCGAGGTGAGTGTACAGGAGAGGAAAGCGGGCTTGCAAGGTCTTCATCGGCAACGCCAATGCTGTCCTCAACTTCTTGCATGAAGTATGCTTCCCCCGCTGCACCTAGTTTCATAACTAGGGCAGTCGGCTTATTGTTAACAGTCACAGAAACAATTTTTTCTCTCGACCTCAGCAGTTTAGCCTTGCCGAACCGTACATGGAACGGGGTTGAGTGCAGCTCGCCGGTGTGTGGATTCCGCACGCAGATGATGTCAATGCATCCACTAAGCGTGGCCTGATTGAAGTCGAGCGCATTGCTGACGCTGCTGACGATTCTGCCCCACATGTTTACGAGAGAAAAAGCAGCGCCTAGACACCCGTGAGTCCCGCTTGCATGCCGACAATGTCTTGCATGGGAGGTTGGGCACGCAAAACGCCGAGCCTGCTATTGCAGTAGCTCGAAAAAGGAAAAATATACTGATCCTGGCATATATATGCGAAGTGTGTGAGCTGGGAAAGCAGAAGCGCCTCCTGCGCAAGAGGCAGTCGGCCACCGTGGGCGTGCCCGCGACCAGCACTCCACGAACTCCGTTTCAGCCCTTCTTTCAGCAGTCTTGACGAAAGGAAGGACGCGACAGAGAGTTAACAACAGGACTCCGACTTCAGAGAAATTGATGTGTCGCTTTCAACACCGCGCTATGCCCCGTCGTTGAGGGTTTTGCAGGCGCTGGGTTAGCTGCATCAAGGGAGTGAGGCTGCTGCGAACCAAAGCAGTTTTGTCACCCTCTTATCGCTAACTCTCTGTCATATATCCCAATCTGCAAACGTTGATAAAAACGGAGCGAGAGCCAACGGCGTACTAACGGAAGCCGCCGCCACGGGCAGGCCCAACAGCCCAGCCAACGCTTTCTATGGGGCTCAACCTTAATTCCAAAGTGAAATTCAACAGTAGAACAAATGAACTGTGGAAGACGGAAATATGATGTTTATTGGTGCTTAGGCATAAAAGTTAGCAAGCTGTTCGTTTAGCCTTCGGGGGCATCCACCATTGCACCGGTCCGATGCGTTTCTCGAAGCTACTAAGAAGGCACGTCTTATGAAATGCGTCATGATACAACATCTTAATCGCCCCTTACTTTCCAGTGCAGCTACATAGAGAAGCAGGAATGACCTGTTTCCACCAGAGGGTGCGCCAAGTTCCCCCTGTCAGACTTGCCGTTTGCCTACCATTCAACAGGCCCAGGCCTAAGCAGTAGCAGAAGCGTCGGGTTCTGTTGTCTGCCCATAGTAATATGCTGTTGATGCTCCGTCTCTTTGCAGGCCTCTAGTTCCTTCTGTAAAGGCCTTTTGGTAGATCCAGCAGCATTCTGAGCAGGAAAGTGTGTCTGGTTTCCCTGGTAGCTTCCGATTAAAACAATGGCGAAAGTAGATGGAGTAGTGTACAAGATAACAGAGGCTCAGGCAACCTGCTTTAAGACTGCGTTTGGCATCTTCGACTCCGATGGAGATGGCTACGTAACTGTCGAGTGCGCTACACAATCGACTGCCCGCAATGCATGCAAAATGTATGCCTGTATTGAAAAAAGTAGCCCACTTAAGTATATAAGTCAGTCTACTGCTACTAGATGCTTTCTACGCAGTTGTGCAGCCAAAGGCAATCAAAGACAATCCCGTCAGTCTGGTAGCTGGGCTGCTGTGCTTTTTGAAGGGAATTTGTAAAGCTTTTTCGCTCCGTGGGGCAGTCACCCTCTGAGGCGACACTCAAGGAAATAGTCGAGAAGCACGATCCGGAAAAATTGGGAAAATTTGACCTTCACACCTTCTTGCGGATCTGCGACTCCCCGTACTTCGCTGACCCAATGAAGGAAGAGAGACTAGTAGAATGTTTCCGTATGTTTGACGATGATTCTATTGGAAAGATAAGTATTCCAGAACTGAGATACGTGTTGCAACAAATAGGGGAACCGTTGACAGATGACGAAGCTGACAAATTTATTGACTGGGCCATGAAGGTAATGTGGGAATATTCCTCATCTTCACAGATTCCCGCAAGCACCTGCTGACAGGAAGAACCAAAAACGAAACGGAAACACCCCATAAAAACTACTGTTTGGTTGCTGCCAAAACGTACCTTTCACTCGCTACGCGTTGGGCAAGATGCAAAAGAAATCTTCGAATGCCCGATGGCGTGCTTAGCTGGACTGTCAATGCCTGTCAAACGTTTAGGTACCTGATGCGATTTCGGATGGAGGAATGCTCAACTACGATATTCTCGCACGGGAACTAATGAACAGGGATCCTGATGTCTTATAAAACAAAACCGAAGAGGAACTGATTCCGCTGAACGAAGCTGTTCATCCACTGCTGTGGCGCGCGGGATATCCCTACGCAAAAGCCCGCGAATGCTGCAAGAAATACCCCCATGTTCTGCTTGCTTCGTATTCCCTGGATATTCGAGGTCTTCTCTTCCTGTCGAGGTGCAGCTGGGGTTTCTTTGCCGCCTAGGGTTTTTTTTGTGATTGCGCTCAAGCCAGAGGCTTGCCGCAGCATACTTATGCTTGGTGTTGAGCACTATGTAATATTGCATAGCCCAACTTTAACTGTGAGGGTTTACAAGTGAATAGTTTAGCCACTCCGTAGCCCCAAGCACAGCTGCTCGCCACTGACGCCCTACTCCCACAGCAGAGTTTCTTTCTTTCATATGTTCATCTGTCATACTCCGCTTCTATACTCTGCGCACGGCGATCAGACAGAATAGATTGGGTTAGCCAAGCAAAAAAAAAGCAGGCGCAGCGATGCTCTCCCGGTGGCAAAAAGTGGGACGTTCTAGATACAGTGTTAGGCAAATTCAGGTAATCAAGACGCATGGTCGAGGCCCACCACAATGCTGACGGCTGGTACAGCATGGGGATGCCCCCAGAAAAGGGTTTTGGAGTTTGTATGTAGCGATAACGCATTAGCGCCAACTTGCTCATTGAACAAGTTTCAAGTGGTGCTGGGGACTCAAGAAAATGTGCCTAGCGATGTGGCGTTCGCCCCTCGCTTAATATTCGAAGAAATGGGCAAACTTCCAAAAGCGAATTGCGTGCCCGCTTGCTTGCCTCTGGAGCAGGCGAGCGAAACGTCCAGGTGCACCCAGGGTAGACTTCATAGGATTAGATAGGGTGTAGCACTGAATCCAGCTCCGACTTTCATTTTCACCATGCTTCGAAGCAAACACATGAGCTACTTGGGGATGTTTCAGGACCTGCGGGGCCTTACGAAGAGGCAGGCCAAAAGCCTTCCCCCCCCCC